GTTAGAAGATTACGTTATTCGTAAGTTTTTACGTATTTCTCTTTGTAATTTTTTTTTATTGTTATTGTCTTTCGTGACCATACAGTTTGACTTTTCAGAAAAAATGAAACAAAATTTTAATTATTTGTACCAAAAAGATCGAATAGCACGATTATTATCTAAATAATTTAAAAAATTGTAACTTGTAATGAATTAATGAAAAAAAATATACCGGGTATCCTGTAATTTATGATCAAATGAGACATTTCTTCAGTAAAATTTAAATTACTTTCACAATATACTATAAATATTATCTGTTTATCTAATTTGTTGGCAGGCTAGCAGGAATACTTGTATTTATTTTTTCATCATTTTGTGTTTTAGAATTAGCAAATGGCTCTTTAGACCATTTGGACGAGATACTAGACTCTGCAGGACCAGGACCAAGTAGTATGTCTCTCTTAAACGCGGATGAGTTCGTCGAAACCCAACTGGATGAGGACAATTCACGTCAGTCATCCAGTTTTGATCCTCTGTCACCCAATAACCAAGAGTTCTCGGATGACGAGGTAGATACAGACACATCCAGTGATTTGGACACCAACTAGTAGTGACATATTTTTTCCCTTATTATTAAGAAGACCCACATCCCTACTATGTTTCATCAATTACCATCTATTGTTATTGCATATCTCATCGTTAACGCGTACTAAGTACCCGTTAGTCAATTTTTAATGAAATTCAGGTGAGTTTTTGAAAGTCATATCTATTATTTATTTGCGAGAAAATAATTTTTTTTTTTAAATTCTGTTTATTAATGGGATTTAGTATTTAGTGTTCAATATTGAGTAGTAATGATTTTTGGACGGTATTTGTTCTTAAGTTCGTGTTTAGTAGTTACCGGGATATATAAAATGTTATTTATTGTCTCAAAGGAGAATCAAAAATTGTTTTTTTTTTTTATTAAAGACGAAACACGATACGAAATCGTTACAAAAAAATACTTTGGCATTAGATTATTATCACTTTGGAATTATAAAGCAACTATAAAACAAAAACTTTCTTGTTAGTAGCCCAATTAAACCGAACCGAACCGTTAATAAATCACTAAAACTAAATTTGTTTAAAAACCTAAAATGCGATTGGATACCCAAGATGTCATCCCCAGTTAGAGTCTTTGGGTTTTAGATATTTAAATAATTTTTTCAAAGATGCTCCCCTTTGTTTATTAAAAATTGACGATCCTGTTCGACTCCACTTCCCCACTTTTTCATCTGCTGTCTGAACGTTCGCCGAAAATTATTACTTACATATTACGTAGGTTAAGAATTAATTTACCAATTTATTGCAATCATTATGATATGTTGTTAATATATATACATATATATATATATAAAAACAAACGCAAATTTCTCACTCAGTTCTTTCAGTAGCTTGTATTATACTAACGATAAGTAACAAATTTAACAGCTTGATTTTTTAAGTATGTATTTATAAGTGTTTTTCGTGTAGAGTAAAATAAGTATAACGAAAAAAAAAAAAACTGGTAAAGCGATTAAATCGCACCGTTGAACGACCGAAAATGTGGTTGCTAAATTATTCTTTTTTGCTCAAATTTATATCACTGTTTTTATATATGTATTTCAGTAAATTAGAAATTTTCCGAGATCTGTAATTTAACTTTGTGTTAGGTGTGGGGACTCAACTTTTCATTTGTCTAATTAGTCTCTTTGTAATTTTTTGTAACAAAATTTAATTCTAAAGAGAGCCGAAAGAAATTGTAATTGTTATAAATTTTATTTTATCATTTGGGTAATAGGTTCATATTTGAAACACTCCAAAT